GATATGGATGTAAAGAATAATAAATTCTTGTTCTTTATCTGTAAAACAAGGCAAATAAGAGTCATCATCTAGTATTATTATCACAAGAAAACCTAATGGTTTGCAAGAGTTTGGATAAAGGGATTAGTTATGCAAGAAAAAGACATATCAGTCGTAGCACATCCTACCTATGATAAGCTGCTTTGTTGTTTATTATAAGTTGTGTTTCTCTATGTTAGTTTATCTAAGGTTTAAAAAAAGTTCACCTCAATAAAAAAATCATTAGCTCATTAAGTTAAAATCGAGTCATTCTAAAACCCAGAAAAGTCTATACAAGATTTAAGAAAAGTCCTCTTTAGTAAAAAAATTCTTATCTTTTTATATTAAAACCTAGCTATTTTAAAGCCCAAGAAATCAAAAAAAGAGTTTTTATTTGATATTTTAGCCAAATTCTAAAGGATAATTGCAAACATTTTGTGATACTCATTAACTTTTTTTTTGTATTTTTCAAAGTACGATAAAAATAAAATTTTTATGTTTTGTATAAAATAGACATGAAAAAATTAGAACTTGGTCATATGCACACAATATAAAATATATTTTTTTGTGTTTAGTAAATAAGGAAATATTTTAGAAATTTTTGGATTTTTTTTAATTTTTGCGAAAAACAACTATTTTTATATAGGATCATTATTTTACACTTTAAGTCTCTAACTCCATTATTGAGTGAAATTATTGGAAAAATATGCAAGAGTACCACAAATAATTTTAAAATGGCTCTTGAAAGTTTTTAGAATTTTTAAAAATTTATTCGGGGTCTGTTTGACAAAAAAAATCATTTTTCCTTTAAATGAAGTTGTCAAAATAAACCTAATGGTATGCTTGTCAAACACGCCCTTTAGCTATAAAAACCTTTATCAAAAACTTGCCAAACAAACAAGACCTAACTTAATTTACCCGAAGCCAGACCAATCGAGTTGACCTAAAATCAATGGTTTGATCATGAAGCAAATCTAAAACTTTGATTTAACTCAAAAAAAAGTTCTAAAATAAAGTAAATATCCAAAAACATATTCAACTAGAAAAACATAAAACATCTTGACAAAACTAGATCATACATGCGTAAAATGAAGAACACAATGAGTATTCTTCATAAACCCATAAAACATAACTCTCACCATCGACATATAGCAAAACCAAGGGCAAAAAAAGATTATAGATCATGCAAGGGTTAATAATCTAGCACTTATTTACTTCGAGTATCATTAAGACATCATGACTTGATTATGGAGGGTTTTGATTTAAAACCAAAACTTTAAGATTAAAATCATGAACAACATGTTATTGAGGCAAAAAAAAAAAAAAAACTTAGATTACTGGCTAATGGGGTTATATGAAGTGGTTAGTGCCAAGAAATGAACTAAAATTGATCCAAATTATATAGCTAAGACAATATTCTTCCTAAAAACATTGATTATAAAACAAATACAAAAACCCAGAAAACTCAATATGGCAGATATGTAACCAGACTCCTAAAAAATACAATAAAAGCCTAAAGAACAAACTAAACTTAACAACAAAAGCTTAAGCATATTCAAAATAACTTATTTTGACCATTAAAACAACAAGAAACATGGAATCAAAGGCAAAACAACAAATATAGCCTATGTCCTATAATAGGCCAAAAACATATTCTAATAGTGTTTTAAAGATTGTTTTTCACATTGTTAACTATAAATAAACATTCATTTGGCTTAAGCAAACCTAACTAAACACTAACAATGGTCTAAGAACATCAAAAATAGACAACAACCAAACCTTTAACATGTACTACCTATAAAGAATTCATTGATTGCCTTGAACAATCAAAACATGCTAAGAATGTATCTCAAACTAATATTTATCACTTTAGAGATAAAACTAAACATCTAAACTAAACCTTAAACAGCACTTAAACATACATATGTATATTAAAACATGATATGGTTAAAAATAAAAAAATAAACACTTATTGCATCTAACCTAACAAAAGGCTCTAAAAAAAGGCATATAAGACATTTAATGTAAAAGATAACAATGAAAACATAATGAAAAAGGAGCAATTGTGCTCATTAAGCTATATCCCTTCATAAAAGTTGAAAACTTACCTTATCTAAAGATGTTGCCTCCTAAAAATCTTTCCTTAAGTGATGGTAAGTGTGGCCATATAGTTGTATGTCTGAGGGTAAGTGAAGAGCTTGGTGACAATGGTGAGGATACATGGGTTCAAAAGGTAACCACTTTTTTACTTTCTTTTTCTCTCTCTCTCATTCTTCCTCTCTTTTTTATATGGCTTTTTGCCTTTATTTTAAAAACTTCATTGGGATCCTTTTTTAAAGCTATCAGCTGGACCATTCTCTCTTATTAATGTATAAGAATCAATCATGGCAATCTATTAAAGTTAAGGCTTAGGCTTTATAGTGTTATAGAGTCAAAAAAGGATACACTAGTTAGCCTAACTGGTTGGGGCATGAGTTTTGGCTTCTTGTAGTAATGCCTTTAAGGTTATGAAAAGGCTTTTATTCTATCTATATAGGAGTACAACATGTAGGGTGTGAGAGGTATGTTTATTGTCTTGTTCGAAGAAGAGATAAGGGTAATTTTAAACTTAGAAGATTGTAACAGAACCAAGCTTCTGAGGGCTTTTAGGAAAGAAGAAAATTTATAGCAGATCACCTCACAGCTTTTTTATATTCTAATTTTTGGACTTATCAAAACAACGTTGATTTAAACTAAAATTAAATATTTTGATTAAAACATATCGTTTCATTTAAATGAAATGACACTGTTTTAATAACCCTTGGTCAATTAGGGTTCTAAAATTAGGATTTAATTAAAAGTCAAATTAGTTCTTGATCTTTTGAATTTTTTTAATTGTACTTGTAATTACTTTATAACTTTCAGTTTAGTTCAATTTCATAATTGCCAAACTTAAACACTGACACTGAAGTTTAGCGTCTTTTTCATTTTAACCCTTAGTTTATGATTTATGTAAATTGATTTCTAATTGACCATTTAACTTTTATTTTTTTTCAATTTAGCCCCCTAATTTCACTAAATTCAATCCCTGGAGTTTTGCGTGTTTTACAAGTTGATCCTTGATTTTGATTTTTTTTTTAATTTAGCCCTTAATTGACTCTGAAACTCTAATTTTCTTGCAATTTCATCCCTGATTTCACCCATTTGAGTTTGAAAAAATTAAATTTGATTATTTAAAATTTTAATCTTCTCAATTAAGCGCAAATTAAGCTTCCAAACTTAATTTTTTCACCAATTAAATCCTTATTAAAATGAATTTGACCCATTAAAAGTCTGGTTAAATTTTTGCACCTAATTAATTCTTTTAATTTGAATCAAATTAATTCTTAAACTTAATTAATTTTTAATTGGACCTATGATTAATTAAATTGGCCAGTTAAAAGTCTAATTAAGTCCTAAAACTTAATTTTGACATAAATTCATCTAATAATTCTTTAGTTTGACCTTGAATCTGCATTGTCCTTCAGTCTTGGGAATAATGGAAGTATAATTCGACTTCCAATTTTGTTCAAAACTCTAGTTTGATTTCTCCATGCATTTGAAATTTCTCTTACCTTGTTCTTGTGAAGTTGCTAATCTTTTTTATCTTTCATTTTTGTTTATTTTTATTTTAAAAAATAAAAATTTTGAAGGTAACTCAAAATCATGTTATCATGTGATGACAATAACAACCATATCTTTATTTAATTAGAGAACTCATCATTATGTCATTAAAAAAAATAAAAGGTGAGAAATCCATACATATAGAATTAAAAGTGACATACTCAAATAATTTTTAATTGAAGATTGGTAAGTGGATATGCCAAATTTCTCAATTTATATATATATATATATATATATATATATATATATATATATGAATTTTAACATTGTACTAGCCCTTAGATAAAATAAAATAAAAATCAATGGACAATTAATCATGTAAAATTAAGAATTTTCATTTTTAATTATTGTTATTAAAAATAAATCATCAAATCAATTTTTAAATTTCCAGTTGAATAATTATAAAGGCGAATAATGCATCCTCCATCTCTATATTCATAGAAGCATCCTAAGCTTTATATCCGTCTCTATTTATAATAGAGGTAGAAGTGGACCTCTAATGTGATTTTTTTCCATGATCAATTTTTATTAAGGTCCTATTTATTTGTTGGAAAGTTTTTTTTAAGTGATTTTCTTATAAAGTGAATTATTTTTTGATGCTTGATAGTGTTATGAAAAATAAGTTGGAAAATATTTTTTAGTGTTTAGTTATGTTATGAAAAATAAGCTAAAAAATAACTTATTAATGTTTTTTTAATTTTATTGAAATAATGAGAAATAAATCTTACAAATTAAAAAAAAATCTAATTTTATAAATTATCTCAAATAAAATAAATAAAAATAAAAATAATAGAGATCAAATCTAATAGATAAAAAATTAAAAGATGATGAAATTAAAATAATTATAATTATAATTATAATTTCATAAATTATTTCAAATAAAATAAATATCAATCAAAAGAATGATGACCAAATTTTATAGATAAAAAATTTCAATTAAAAAAAAATGATAAAAGAGAAGTAAATAACAATCATAAAAGTAAAAATCAAATTTAATATAAAAATCATATTAAATTAAATTTTAAGGGATAAAATTAGAAGAAAAAATTCAAAATAAAATATACAGTAATCAAAAGTTTGAGAATAAAATTTAATATAATCAATAAATAATATAATATTTTAAAAAAAATTACAACTTTTAAAAAGTATTTTGTATTCAAAATAAAAAAAAAATATTTTTTTTAAATCCAACCAATTTTTATTTTAACTAAAATATATTTTGTGTTGACTAAATGTTTTAATAATAAATAAATATAAGAAAATTTGATTATTTTTTTTTTAAATTACGTCCCGTGAAACAAACGGATTAAGTAATGATAAAAGTAAGAGGCTGAAGCTCCAACGGCTTGACAAGAAAACCCCTCCACTTCTATATTCAAATTAATCGAGTGTTCTTGCCCATCTTCAGCTAGTTTCTATAAAAATAAAAATAAATAAAGTCCTGGAAATGGAGACAGTATCAGAGTAAGGATACTTATCGTTGTCATCCTGGAGAAGGGATTTTTTTTATATATAAAAAAATAGAATTAGAAAGATGGAAGGCAGTGAAAGCGAGGCAGTGTTCGAATCCCTAAATCTGAACCCCCAACTTTTCATCAACGAAACTCTAAACACCGTCGACGATTTGCTGGACGACGCTTTCCATTTCTTCCACCAGTCAGTACCATTTCCGTTTCTCTTTCATTTCTCTAATCATGTTACTAATTATTCTTGTTTTTTTTTGCCACCCCACAGGGAAGCATCAACCCTTTTGAAAACTGACGGCACTAGTAGATCCCAATTTATAAGCGAGGTTTTTTTTTTCCCTCTCTTAATTTATTGGATATGAGGTTAATTATTAGCCTGATGTTATTTGAATTTCATAAAAAAGGGAATTGCTTACATCCGCGATATGATACAATCGGACTTGGATACGCGGTTGGGTATGTGGGAGAAGTACTGTCTTCACCATGTTTTTGCGGTTCCTGAGGGTTTCTGTTTACCTCAAACTGTATGTTCTCTCTTAACCAATCCTTGCAGCTCTTCATTCCTGATGATATTTGTCTTGGTTTCCTTTTTCGTTTTCCACGATCGCCAACCTTTCATGGATTTTTTAAGTTTCTGTTGTGTCAACTTTCCATTTATCGGATTGCGCTGCAAGGTTTCTAGTCATACCCCATTTCAACACTTGTCAGTTCCAAAGGATATTATTATATGTCTGTTACATCACTTTCAATTCATTGTACCTCTTGAAACTTGGCGTTCATGTCAGGTAAGGCGCGGTTAAATAGATACTTGATCAACAGCTTAATTGGCTGAATAGAATTTAGCCTAGTGTACATAGTCTTAAAAGGCACAGGGGAATGTTCATCAACTGGACATGATGAGGAACAATTACATGGAATGGGATGCATATTTTCAGCACAGTAAATGTGAAAGATGGAAGGTGCTATTGATCAGTTTTTTAATGATTCGCTTCCGTGTTTCTTCTTGTGTTTTCTTGTCATAATCCCTTTCTCTTGTTTAGGGCAATGATAATTGTATTTACCTTGTGATCTAGTTGGATCTAACATCTGTTGTAATGTTGTTTATAGGAGTCACCAGCTGAGACTTTCATGTGTCAAGATTTGCTTTCTGATCCTGATCTGGATGCACAGTTGGATATCTTGAGGAACAAGCTTACTAAGGTAAGAACAACTTGTTGTAGAGCAAAAACTTCCATCCATGCGTGGTTTCCTGTTCTGTTTATTTTCTAGATTGTTTTTGTTATGTAAATATATTCTACAGGTAGGAAAGGAGTCTTCTGAGCTGAATCATGAACTCCAAGCCTTGGAAAGGCAATCTGCTTCAAGTGATCATTGTGCAGAACTTGTTAGTGAGGCCCTGCTATTATATGACCAAGCCTCTACGCAAGACATGTATCAAGGTAACCGTTGAAGCCTTGAATATGTTGGTGATTACGTGTTTACAATGCTTTGACATTTTCAGAAAGCAAGTTTTTGTTTGAGGTGGACCTTTCCAGTTTTCTGTTACTTGTGGTTTTGTTTGCTCATAGCAGTCATTATTGTTGGCAACAATCTCCACTGTTTTGAAACAGAACACTGTTGTCAATTTTGTTTCCCATTTCTGTGTCACCGCCATGTATGCCTAAGGTACTGTTGCTTCCAGTGTAAACCGAAGCCCTTAAATAGCACACTGATATTCTGATTCTCATGAGCTGTGCTTCATGTTCTAGGAGGTTTAGTGCTATGCACACACTTTCTAACTTTTTGAGTCTTTAGAATATTCAGTACTGCTGTTTTATTTTTCCCTAGATTTTATTTTTTTCCTGTAAATTATGTTTAACCAGCTTGAAGTCTTTTAAAAATGTATCTTGAACCAACACAGAATTGGTTGCAGAGCTATGCTGAGGGGATTTTGCTTGTAAATCCTTGAAAGTTTATGCAGCTCTTCAACTCTGGCTTGTGAAGAAGTTTTCGCTGATATAGTGCTCTTTATAATAAATGCCTCTTTTTTCTTCTTTCCCTTGTAGTGTATTGCAACGTGCTAGCAAGTTATACCTTGTGAATATGCTTTATCTTGTGCTATCAGCAACTTCAAAGCCACTAATGAAGAACTTCGTATATGGATGCAAGGATTTATGACAACTCTTAGTTGATCATATAATTATTTTTAAACTCAGCTCATTTAGCTGTTTATATCCCTGAAATTCCCCATAGGACAAATTGTTATGTAATTTTTATTAGTTCTGCAATTTGCTATTGACAATTGCTTCTCACAGATATGTTGTCAACCATGTCTGAACTTCATGAAAAAATGGAGAAGCTGAGGACCAGAAAGGTGGAAAACTTAGAATGCATTAGAGCAAAGAGGATTAATGATCCAAACAGAGATTTATTGGCATCAAATTACAGGAAGGGTAAAATTAACTAGCAACAATTTTGTTGTTTGGTGCCTGGCAAGCTTGGTGTGATCGCATTTAAAAGTTTGCGTTTCCTGATGCTTCCTTTTGTTTTCTAGGTCTCCCAAATGCAACAGTGGAGGATATTCAAGAATTTATGGCTGATTTAAAGCATATGTGATCTGAGCGCTTCATATGATGTCAATCAGTCTTACAACTGTGCTGTGTACCGGTGATGCTAACATGATCCGATCCTCAATAATAACCTGTAGTTATTTCTCTTCCCAGGTTCTCTAATTAGCTTTGGACAAAATGGGATAAAGGAGGCCTTGTGTTTGTCTCTGAATGGGAATTGGTAGTGGAAATGTCTTAGCCAGAGACTGTAGTGCCCCTCAACCAAGCCCCAACCCCACTACAACAATGTGTTCCAACCAGTTTGTTGTCTGTCAGTAATTCAATGATATGAAGATTCCAATCCGTACAATCCAACGTCCCAAGCTGGGGATCTGATTTGTGAACTATCTACTCGATCCTTTTCTATTTGATTTCTCAATTAGACGTTATAATATATACCAATAACAACTATTTGATTTCTCAATTAGGAAAAATTTACTTTGATAATTTCCTTAACTTTACACTTTATTTTGAAAATGTCTTCTTCTGTTCTGATCGAACAGCCCTTGAAAGCAACTCTTCGGGTCCAATAGTTGAACCATTGTTGAGTGCAGACCGTGTGTTCCGTCCGTAGTATTACTATTATTAGTATCATCAATAAGCGGAGGAAGGCACAGGCAACTTTGCTCTCTAACTTTGTTTTCTTTGCGTTTTGTTCTTATTATAGCTTTTTGGGAGTTGGGAGTTCCATTATTAATGACTCAAGTTTAAGCTTTTTGGGAGGTGGGTGGGTAGTGGGGTTGGGTTTGTTACTGGGAGTGATGGAATGAGTGGTATGATTTTGTGTGGTCACTCTCAGTGCAGAACACATGTGGTTTCCCGTTTCAAATCCCCGACAATTTTTTGTGCTGCTAGTCACAAAGTGGAATGGAGTTGTTTGAGGGGAGATTATTTGATTTATCCCAATTTCAGATGGCATGGCTTCAAGCCCCTTTTTGTATGGTTTCAAATAAAAACTAAACATGAGAGAATCGAGCATTCGCAAACACCCACAAACAAAATGAATAATATTGCTTCTTTCTGAACTGTAACCCTCCTTAGGAGCACAAATAGTAGAAAGCCATGACCTTAAGAACTCTTTCCCGGCAATATGGTTCACAACAAGAAGCCTATATACAATTATATAGCAGTGAAAACTGGAGAACAAAGAGTACATGTGGTGAGAATTACATCTGCTTTGCCTAAAAAATCATTTTCTGGAGGCCATACTGCTGAACAGAAGTACACCTAAGCCCCCAATTACTATAGTTAAAATAAGCGGAAAGGTGATGGAATCAGTGTCGGCTGTACTGTTTATAATATCTGCACGAGACCTCTCTCCCCGGTGTTCATGCAGAAGATTGGTTAGATTATCTAATTGGTGCATTATTTGACGCTGTCCCCGTGCAATTAGAAGTACCTGTTCAGGCCATGGCTTCAGCAATCAAACAAAAACAGTTTTCAAAGGAAAATAGAACAGGGAGTTAAATGTGTGGTAGCAATCAAAGCAGATTCAGATGGAAGCAATGCTGAGGTTGACTCGCACCATTTCTGAACACGCTACTGCTGATCGATTGTAAGTCACTTTGACAACATTATCCCAAACAGATCAAACTCTTATAAGCCTACTCCCCATTATGTCAACTGCTATTCCAATTCTCAAGCATGAAGGCTAAAGAAGCTTAATACACCTCTAATCCAAGGAATTTCGTCTATCAATTTCTTTAGCAAAGAGTGTCATTAACATGGTAATTAGAAATCAGAAACATATTGAGTTTTAATCTCGAAAATTGCCAGAATGTATAATTTATATCCAGTTAAATCCATATAAATCATCAACTAGTCGTCCTAGCACACAAGGATTGTTTCTCTTCACTATTTCCTTGATGTAGTTTTCCGAGCACACAAGGATAGTTTCTCCTCACTACTCCCAACAAAAAAATTACACGTTTTCTGTTATGTTTAAGACAGTTTATTCCAAAAGTATACGATACAAACACTACTATTCTAGCCTATCCTGTTCAAATGAAAATAATGTCACTTTGTTAAGTTGTTCCACTATTTCTAACAAGTGAGAATTTTACACCTATTTTCTTTGTTGTTTCAACAAATTTCAAGAACTTGAACCCAAAAGTAAAACATAAAAAGCTTACTATTGTAGCATATTTTGCTCAAAAGAAAAGACGGAGAAATATCTAACGTAGTTCTATTGAACAAGGTTGTTCCATATTCATGAATATCATGTAGAAATTAGCCTTGCACACATACACCATATTACGGTTAACCTCGTGATTTTACTCTTTTTTTCATGCCAAAAGCTCTTAAGAGATAAAGTTGTGGTACCTCTTCCATTAGTGGAGACTCCCTAGTTAACTGGGAAGAAGATGAAGAATTTGGCAGTATCGATCCAGTTAGCGAGCCATTTCCCAAGCCAGTAACAAATAGAGAAGTTGGTCCAGATCCATTGCAGGGTTCGCCTTGCAAAGCCACATTTTGTTGGCTAGCTGAAACTTTTCTGGTGGAAAACTTGGAATTGAGCTCCTCAATGCGAGATGTAAACTCATCCATCCTCTCATTCAGTGTGGAAATTTGCTCAGAGAGTTGAGTAATGACACCCTGAAACATTCCAGAAGATAAAATTATGATTAAAATAAAAATAAAAGTTACATTCAGAAGGGATGCAGGTAATGAAAACAGAAAAACTATGGGAGAGAAAAGGCAACCATTCTTGTCAGAAAAAATCAAAAGGAACAAGAGTGCATTCTCTAGCAAGTTGGATCTGACTGGCAAGAATTGTTTTACCAGAAACCATAACAAACCCATGTAAGAGGAAGAACAATTAACTAGAACTAGGGAACATACTACCTAAAAGAAGTTTGACAAGAACTTGAAACAATCATCTTCCCTATGTTCTAGATAATGAATAACAGAAAGTTCAACACTGATATTTTCTCAATTATGTCAACAGCTGAATAACTGCTGAGAATGCCGAGGAAATAGACCATTATACTGCCTTTTACCTCAATGCCTCTGATGCCAGGAATACACTCACCTGGTTGGCAACTGCAGCAGGTGACTCTACAGTTCTTCCATCAAATCTTCTATTATTAACGGCAAGTCTTGTCAGCTTGGACAGATTCTTCTCCCGTTGATTTGAATATGAGAGTGATAAACTGCTGCACATTATGTAATGTCGGATGAACCATGTTAGTTTCATAGATTGCTAGTATTAGCCTAATAGAAGCATTGCAGATATTGCTTCCAGTTCCACAATTTTGAAATTGGGACTCTTGGTTACTCTGTGAGTGAGAGTGTGTGTGAAATAAACAGTTGAAATTTCCAAACATGTACAGTTCAATTGAAAGTCGAGTGATATTTCATTCTCAAGCAATCATCCGATCAAGGAACAAGATTAATACCCAAATAGACGCCTACCTATTTGATATTCCTATCTTTCCTTTCAGTTTATTTATTTATTTTGTTCCTTTAACTGTCTTCTTGTTTAGGAGGGAAGATAAATCAAACCATGTGTCAGAACTAGAGAATACCGGCCCAGATATTTATTTCTCCTGTCTGCAGAAGCTCTGGAAAGGGCTTCTTTAGGGCTTGAAACCAAATCATCGTCGATGCTGAGCTTTGTTTTCAAATCATCTGGCAATGCCTGCAGATTGATCAGATAAGGATTGTGCGCAACTCAGGAATATATTTTCAGCTGAAAGAATCATACCATGACATCATTCACAAGCTTCTCTAGCTGAATCTGTTCTATGTATGTGCGAGGAACATATGAGCCATCCAAGCCTAGGTGCTCCGCAACATATTTAACGTATAAACGCTCTTTACCTTGCACCTTCCCATGAACAACATGGATTTAATTAGATCCAAGCTTTGCAAAATTTAGGCAATAAGCTAATAATAATGGATTGTATACTAGAAAGGTAAAACTTCCATCTCTAAAGAAACATAACAAATGAGTTGCTATTGTCTATCTGATGCACAAATGCTATTGTCTATCTGATGCACAAAATCTACAGCAGTTTATTGCCAAAGAAAATGTGATGCGTAAGCGTTGGTTATCTTAGATTGAAATAACTGGAAATAGAGAAAGGTGAACGAGAAAAGAAAGAGGACGAAGAAAGGATGGAGAGAGAGAAAGATGAAAGAAGAGGAAAGAGATAGAAGTGTTGTATGTCTTACTGTGTAGACCCACAAGATGGGGCATAAATGTCTCTTATGCCCATCTTGTAGGAAATTGAGTGAAACATCCTACTACAAAAACCCTTAGTAAAAATATAAGCTAATTGATTTCAAAGTTTACAAAAAGTATACAAATTGTCCCATCATCATTTATTTTCTTCTTGATAAAGTACTTATCAATCTCAATATGCTTTGTCTTGTCATGTTCAACTAGATTATGAGCAATATTAATGGCCGCTTTGTTATCACAAAACAAAAAAACAAGATTATCACTTGTTATTCTCAGTTTCTCCATCAGATTTTTAAGCTATAAAAATTCACAGACTCCATGTGTCATAGCCCTATATTCAGCCTCTGCACTAAACCTTGCCACCGCTGTTTGTTTCTAGCTTCTCTATGAAACTAGATTACCACCAATAAAAATGTAATATCTAGATGTAGACTTTTTATCATTTGGAAATCTAGGCTAGTCAACTTCAGTAAGGACTTCCATCATCAAATGACCATTATTAGAAAACAACAGTACTTTTACAGGAGCTAACTTCAAATATCTAAGAATACGATATTCAATATTCAGATGAGGTGAGCGAGGATTATGCATAAATTGACTAATCATAGATGAGTATAGGAGAGAGCAGTCAACCTCCCAACTAATCTTTGATATCTCTCTCTATCCGCTAGCTCACCTATACAACCTTTGTGGTGATGGTTGGTTTCCTTTATAGAATTAATAGGTTTGCATCCCAACATTTCAGTCTATGTAAGTATGTAAGTAAATAAAGGATATACTTTCTTCGAGAAATCAAGCCGCCCTTATTTGATCGAGCAAGTTCGATTCTCAAGAACTATCACAATTTTCCCTTGATCTCAAACCTCTAGGCAAGATAAACCTTCAACAAGGTGATTTCTTCATAATCATTTCTTGTCACCACAATATCATCAAACATATACAATGAGAGTCGTGGTCTTACCATTACAATGTTTGATGAACCAAGTGTGATCTGCATTACTTTGTTTGTCCCAAAACGAACTATAATTTTGCTAAATTTATCAAAACAAGCTCGTGGAGGTTGTTTTAACCCATAATTTTGTCCTTTTGCAAGCAAAACCAAGGGTACCTTCATGTAAACCTCTTCTTTCAAATCTCCATGCAAAAAAAGCATTCTTTACATCTAATTATTGTAAATCCCAACCCAAATTTACACCACAAGATAAAAGGACCCGCATAGTGATCATTTTTGCTACTAGAACAAATGTTTACAAATAATCAATGCCAAAGGTTTGAGTGAAGCCTTTTCCACCAATCTTGCTTTGAGCCCATCAAGTTTTTGTTTAACAACAACAAAAACCTACTTACATCCTAATGTTTCTTCTCAGAAGAAAAGGTGGTAAGCTTCCATGTGTCATTCTTTGCCAACACATTCATTTCCTCCACCATAGATATTTTTCAATTTGGTTCCCCTATAGCTTCCTTCCAAGCATTTGTAATTAGTGTAGAAAACAAAGAACATTTAAAGGCTCTAAATGAAGAAGATAAACAAGTCATACAAAATAAAATTAGATATAGGATACTCAATACAATTTTGAAGGAAGATCATCAGCATCAAAACTATGAACAAAAGACTCAAAAATGGTGATAGGAGGTATACCAAAAGGAGAAGATCGTGACATTGAATCAAAGGTTGGCTATTGACTTGGTCGAGTATGCAAAATAGCTTTATCTATTGGCTTCCTCTGAGAGTAAGTCAAGATCTTCTTCTCCCCATCTTTTGAGATATTGTATCTTTCTTCTCCTTCTTTATTTCTAGTCCCCACCTCTTTCTCCTCATCTATAGAATTATCCTTCTCTTTCTCCCCCCTCACTTCCATTTTCTAAATCAAATTTGGAATGCTATAGAGAAGACAAGGACAAAGTCAGATTTTCCTTTACACCACTCCCCCCCTAAAGAGATGAGTTAGTGAAATAGGCCTCAGTCTCATAAAATGTCACATTCATATTAACAAATGTTTTTCTGCTAGGAGGATGACAACATCTATAACCTTTTTGAGTGGCAAATTAACCAGTAAATACACATTTTAGAGCTTTAGATTCTAATTTTCCAACTGTTTGTTAATGAACTCGAACAAAACATACACAACCAAACACATTAGGAGGAACTACAAAAGAGCAAATGTCTCTAGATAATCAATGTCAAAATGTAATGCTTCTCTTATTAATAGATGAATAAGTAACATGTGTATGCTTTGTAGATTCACATACATCATATAATAAGTTCTTTCACATTATAGTGTTTTTGACATGGTTGGAAAGATCCTATTTAAGGCTATAAAAGAACAATGCCCTAAACAATTATGCCCACTGATATAACTGTTGTTGAGCAGTCATTGAAGAATCAAGTTTCAAAGTATATCTACCTATACTTGTCCCAACCAGGTTAACAAAATCCACATTCAATAGATACAAGTCATCTTTCACTGTACCACAGCTAATCACCTTCCTCATCTTCTAAGTCCTTAAAACACAAAATAATTTGAAAAGAATGAGACTTTACAATTTAAATCTTTTGTTATTTTACTAAAAGAAGACAAATTATTAAAAAAAATGGGGAACATGAAGAATTGAAGACAAGAAAAGTAAGAGTGCATTAAACTAAACCTTTCTCAGAAACAAAACATAGAGTGGAATTATTTGCTCCTGAATAAGATAATAAGATAAAAAATGTTCAGAAGATCTAGTCACGTGATCAATTGCTCCTAAATCTATAACTCATGGACTAGAATCAGCTAGTGGAATTATTTAGAGCTGTGACATTTATAATTGTATGAGCAAAGTTGGATGAGAAATTGGAGGGAGATTCAAGCTTGGTCATCAGATGTCTAATCCTCCTTAGAAAGAGTGGAAGAATTTAAGTCTCCACCTGAAGCTGAAATTTCATTCACCACTAACATGTGAGCCTGTGATCAGATAGGTCCAACCCTTTCTCCTCCATGTCCCTTGGTAGAACTTCCATAAAGTTTCTAGTAGGTTTCTCTAGTGTGTTTAGTACACCTGCAATAATCATATTTCAATTGCTCTTTGTCTGATATTCCTTCATCACTAAATCAAGTTTGTCCTTTATTATCCCATTGAGGAAAATGGACAATCATGGTTGATCTTTGTGGAATTACATGTTGTAATATAACATTCCTCCTACTCTCTTTATTTTAAACATATGAGTATGTTTGTCTTAATGAAGGACAATGATCCTTATCTTACCAAGAACCTAAACCCTAATTTGATCGTACTCCATATTGAGTCCAACAAAGAAGTCAATAACTTTCTTTATCCACTAACTTCTGAAATTTAGCTGCATCATTTGGACAATCAACTTGAAAGTCTTGATAGAAATTCAACTTCTGCCATAAACTGTTGAGTTCTGCAAAATATTAAGCTACAATCATCCCACCCTCATGTATCTTATTACGTAGCTCAAAAACTTACCCTGTTTGGTCTCATGTATCGTATTACGTAGCTCAAAAACTTAGGTATCATTACCAAGTTAATAGCATGTTTGATTAGCAACACTCTACATTTTTTTACACAGAATCAAGGAGTAGATAACCATAAGCAATAGAAGGCTCCATGGAGTTAATGTGCCAAGACATAACTAATGAGCTTTCCGAATACCATCAATTAAGCGATGGGTTTGTTGTTGCTTGCCTTCCTTGTTCTTCTGTGATATAATCATACAATCCTTGGGCTTTGATAAATAATAGGCATGATTGCGACCATACAAGATATTTGATTCCATTTAATTTAACAAGACTAATATGAAGTGAGGGATTATCACCAAAAGCTCTAACTCGACTTCCATTACTCTTGCTAATATCATTTTTCAAGTTCCCCCTGAACTTACATCTGTCATGTTTAAAACTAGTACAATCGAACCAAAATTAATCTCAACTCTACAAGAGACCACTTGACTTTTGCTAATCCTTAAAAACCAAGACAAACTCAGTTAAGCATGACAAAATTGGTCTGAATGCCCTTTTCCCTTCATTATATAGAGAAGTTTTATATAATTAATGGCAGATTTCCAGCATCTAAATGCTATACAAGGTAAGTATTAATGGCAGATTTCCAGCACTTAAATGCTATACAAGGTAAGTAAACATCCCTAAAATAATACAAATCAAATCCCTAAATTATCCATAACAAAGCATATCTTCAAAAATGCCAAATATCTTGATCAAAACAATCCCTAAAAGTGGATACATTTTTATCAAACAATCTCTCTACAAGTTAGCAAAGTAAATGACATCATTTTTTGTTGAAACCATATGGCTTTTGTTGCTAGGTAAAAGAGCTTTCAAAAACAGGAAAAGGGACATCATCTGACATCAACACGATGGCATCACTGATGTCAGCATAAGGTTGACTTTTGTTAGTGTTCTTAGTGCTCTGATACCACCATGTTGGTTTTCTTAGATTGAAATAACTGAAAATGGAGAAAGGAGAAGAGGAAGAAGAAAGGATGAAGAGAGAGAAATGAAAGAAGAGGAAAGAGATAAATTGCGTGTCCTTACTGTATAGACCCCCAATATAGACATATATAGAGTATGTATGCAATTACATAAATACCCTGGAAATAGTAAGGCGATGGGGTAATGTGGTCAGTTGATCAACACAACTATTTTAATAGCGGCAGTTGGCTTGGATTTTCAACTGGATAGAAAGTTGAAACTCAAATGAGCGAATCATGTTAAAAAGCATAGTTAAGCCAAGTTATGAGATAAGTTGGAGAGATTAGAACAGAAAACTATTGAGAAAAGAGATACTAACTGAAACGCAGAGAAGATCATGAAAGCAAAACAGCTATAGAAAAGCTAATAATTGAATCACAGCACAAATAGACAGAGTGTTCATCCATGTCAAAAAGTGGAAATATAGAACAGAATGCATAATTGCAATAAAAGGAGAACAGCATGTAGTACCTGAACATAGTGGCGATTAAGTTGTTCAAGCCAGTCAGTTTTGATGGAAACCCTATCATCACAGAAGACATGACTGCTTCTTTTCAGGATGGTTGCAATTGTGTACCCCAATGCCATCAACCCTCCAAGAAGACGTACACTAACCTCAAAGGTTATCCTAGGTGAGATTATAAATGGACTATCTGTAACCCATTCCTGAAACAGAAGCATAAAGGTTAGAAACCCAAACTTCTTAGCACCGTTAGTATCCACAAACTATTCAGCAAAAATCTTAATAATGAAATTAGGCAAGTGAACAAGTTTAATTGAGCAATAAAAAGCAAAGCATTTCTATCATATACAGGTATATATCTTTTCAGAGGTGTATCTGCACTTGTTATTTAATTTTAGTTTTTAAACAGCCAAATGGGCTCTCTAAGATTTGTTGAAACTTTTTCTTCATATTACTACTTCCTAAGTGAAAGTGTTTCTCCATTTTCTTCTTGATGTTTATCGGTCAAAACATACGCAATCGCCTAATCATTGATTGCATGAAGATTATTAATTTTCCTTTATTTGCAAAAGTCATATTATGGAAGACAGCACCATATTCTCTCAAATTACATTTGATAAGACGAACGGCCTGAGTCAAAAGAGTATTGAGTCTTTAGAACAAGAGAGAAAGATGACAAATACCACTAGATTCCACGACTCCAAATAAAAGCAACAGCTCTCTTAAATTATAGAAATATTGTATGATAGCCAACCACCGAAATTCTAGGATCTAAAATCTCAAAGAGCATAACAGAATTTGTTTTCACGGGCTAAACGATCAGCTCACACATCAGCACTGGCTGGGTAAAGAAATAGCAAGAAAACAGCATGGTCAACAAAGTATATAAGGTGTGGCATTACTAGAAAAGCAAATTGAGCAAAAGCTTAGAAGTGAAAAATGCCAATTTTTTGAAAATGACAGTATAAATCTGAAATCATACCCTAGAATTACTTGATTCTAGACCTATAATTGGAGTTTATATCAAGCCTGATTAATTAATTAATTATGGGCAGTAGGACAACTAATTCATTTGTAGAAGGGGTAAAAAGACCTATTTCATAATAATAATTTCCAACTGCAAAACTTGTCTAAGAAGGTGCTAAATCTGCAATCATCCAAACCTCAAACATGAGATTGTATTTTCCATCCCTGTTTCTCATTCTTAGATACGATTGACATGCTTCAGGATCTTCACCAGGTGGTAGAAGATATATGTCATATGTTTCCTCCTTTGTTTCCTTGTGTTCTTCAGAAAGAATGGCCTTAATCTGTTCAACTGTCACTGACCTTGTTGACTGCAGCAAAAGAAAGTAGATGTATAGTTGAAACAAGAATGTAACCATGGCTCTTAACATGAGAAACCATTATAAATTTGGCAGGAAGAAGTACACGTAGATTTACCTTTAAAATGTAAGTTGGGTTCTGAAACCCCGAGAAAGGATTAAACTTGTTGATGATTTTAATGTGTGCAGTTTGGAGATCTGGCTCAATAAAAGCCTTGTACATGGGATAAACCTGTTGAGCCAACAATAAAAAAGTGCAGAGGAATTACCAAAAAATCTAAATAATTTGGATATCATAGGAAACACATCAAGGAAATGCCTGATAAAATGTACACAGTTAGGCTACAAGATAATATATTAGCTTGGATCAGCAAATCACCGTTTCTGAGATTTGATGAATTATTTCTTCAGGCTCTTGGCCAGCACGTTGAATATCTCGCAAAACCCTTTTGACAAGGTCAAAATGAACACCACCAGTGACAGACACACGGAGATCTAACAAAGGTCGCAGTCTTTCGCTTAAGGCATAGATGCCTTCAATAATCACAATGCGGGAACTAGGGACTTCTACAGTCCTGTTAGAAGTATAGCTGAGAAATTATTACTAGGAACAAATAGATTTCTGAAAAAGTGGTGAAGATCTCATGAACATAGCAAGAAAGCATGAACTAGAAATCCCATGAGACGTTCTGGCATTCTTGATGGCATATCATAAAAAAGTGAGGGCCTCCATGAATGCATCATAATTCATTTCATCCCCGGGCTCCTCTCCTAGTGTTGGTAAAACAAGTAGAGATAGCATGACATGCAGGAAAAAAAAAATTCATATATTCAAAAATAGGCCAGAGAGAACCAGAACCTGTAACCTATGCGAGAGCTAGTCTTGAAGTCGTATATGGGAACCTGAACAGGTTTCCCTGCTTTTAAACCATGTATATTATCGAGAAGTGTATTATAATCCATCAACCGTGGATCTGTTTCAAAAAATTAAAATCATTAGAATTCTAAGAATCCCCATTCTCTAATCACTATGTTGATGGATCAGTGATTAAAAAGCAGCCCTAAACTGATGAACAAAATATGCACAAATAATTTTCTCATTACAATTTGCAAGGACCATAAGAATTTGAACTGCATGAACAACTCAAAACTAACCTTATTATTGGCAGGATATTCACCTCATAGACTACCCACTAAATCCTTCTATTGTGTGTTTGGTGCACCGGCAGTTTATTCTCATTGATACAAGATGCTTAAATTACATTTTCCACCAGCTAAATGAGATTAAAACTATATTTCCACACCTTAAACTCAAACTAGAATGATGCTTCATCTCAGTGTAGGAGACCTAGACCAAGATATCTTGCATGATATCTGCCTTGAGATGTTTAAGGTAAAAGGATGTCAGGCAACAGAGAATAAATGAAGGACATTTGTTTGAAAGCACTGCAGGCAATGCAGTTAGTTTGCTGCCAACTTCTAAGAAAATTCACTATTGTCAGAAGTCCTAAATGCCAAAACCACATGTCACATAGGGGTGACACTGTGAGCCATAATCATGACTGCAATAGTTTGGGAAACAGCTTGAGCACTTTTCACTGAAAATTAAGTTCTATTTTTTATTTTAGGTTACAAACACTCAAAATTGAGTTAACACACAAACTACATCACCAGAAATAAATTTCAAGAGCATTTTCATATTCACCATAAATAGATTACCATAGTTAAATTTCTAATCAGTTTTTCTAGAGCTTATAATTTAATTTCCATAATTATCCGCAATCTCATATGGCCAAAGCCATTCCATATTTGCTACAATATGCAGCCACCACCATTTGGAATTTATATATAAGATCATTTATGCTGTTACCTGAATTACCTCAATTTACTTCTTCATTGAGCTCTCCAAATGTTCACTTGAAACACCTGGTACTTTGAGCTTAAGGTCCTAAACTTTGCCAATTTTATATTAGATTCAACAACTATCCTCTAGAACTCCTCGTGTCCTAATAACCATTCATGTACTTTTCTCTTTCTTATTTTAATCACGACCAATACCAATCACTATCCCCTATCGCTTGGTGGTAGAACCAAATCTACAAGAGCGAAAACTTTGACTCTTCTACAAGCCCTTTTTACAACATTTCTTCTTTTTTGCTAACCATAATTCTGCTTCTTTGGCTATCAGACCAGCTATGTATAAGCCAAGTAATGACTCTCCAGGAACTCATCTACCAGGGCATCAATCCATTTTAGCAACTGACATATGCTAGTTCTATTGGTCACACATAAGAACTGTGACATTACTCATTTTAACAATGAGAAATTCTACAAAGAGTTTATCCTTTTTCAGCCCTTTTACCATGTTTAAAATTACATGAGCATTTGCAACCATCTTTGCATAGAAGCAGAGGTCACCTAACAACATTTTCAAACACAGCCATGCATGTCGGTAATCAAAACGGAAGTCACTCATTCTATCCCCCTTTAAAATTCAATTAGTGAAAATAGGCGGAGCCACCAGAAGAAGTTACTGAAATGAGGCTAAAGGACAGAAATGATTTTTACCATCAAAGTTTCCATCAATGATTCGACTTGAATCATTGTAGTTATCCATGGTTATGACAGCAATACTGGGCATAAAGTTGAGCACCTTCTCAGTGAATACAGTCTTTCCGGCGCCAGAAGGACCTGCTACTCCAACTAATATTAATCCATCATTCTTTTGGGCCAGCAACTGGCATGCACGGATTACTATAAAGAAACCTTTCTCAAACGACAATGTTTCTCCAATTGGAACAATCTCATAGCGATCAGAGTCCTTTTTAACTGCTTGGACCTGATCTCTCAAGAGACCGGAACGCCGCCTAGGTGAATCAACACCCGGAGAAGTAGTATCTTGAGCCATTTACTACTCTGTTGTACAAACAACATTGCAGTGCTTTAGATTTAACCGAATTATCTTTTAAAACATAAATAAATAAAAATACCATCCATCCTAATTTCTACAGAGAGATATCATTTTCAACAACAAGAAGTTTCTGAAGCAACCCCGAATTCCCTTATTTAGCAAAATCGTTCTTCCTTACAAGAAATCATTTTCAGGGTCATGATCATGCTGAATAAAAAGTTTTTTTGACAGGGTAACAATCCGCTTAAATTTGCAATCAAACTTCAACTACAACTCTAAGGAGTAAACAGTGGAAGCAGTGAACATAAAATCAGTAAAAATAATACTGGATGCAATATATATGTATATACCTTTATATTGCTTTTGTCTCTCTCTTTCTTTATTCCTTGATTATTGGATTTTCAGAGCTATAAACAGGGACTTGAAACCTGTTGGACTTCTTTTTTCTGGACTATTAGGTTAAAGAGTGGAGTGATTACAAGAGAAGGTGGGAGGAATGTCATGTGGTGGACTTGATTAACAGAGATCGTTGGTTCATTCATTAGGAGGATGGGTTCTAGCAAGTGATAGGACGTGGACCATAAAACGTCCTGCTGCTGATATCATAACCACAAAGATAGTCTTCTCTTCTCTTCCCTTCCCTTCCCTTCCCTTCTTTCCCTTTCTTTCTCTACAAGTGGAGCGTACCGTTTTCAGTTCCCAACTTTTTGTTTAACGTAAAAATTTTCTTTAAAAAAAAAAAAAACCTATAAGAGACCTCCCTCTCCTGGTCTCTTTCTATCTCTCGAGTTACCTCTTTGCTTTCGGAGCAAAATTATTTTTAATATTAGTGTATTAAAATAATTTAAAAATATTAAAAATATATTTATTTAAAATGAATAAAAAATAAAAATTTTAAATTTTTAAAATATTTTTAATATATAAAAATAAACAGTTTACAACGTATTACTAGATAGTTTATGCTAAGAAGTAGACAAAAGTTTTTTTCTTTTTAAAAAATTTAATGATATTAAATGAGCCAAATTATTTTATAAAAAAAATATCATGACAACATTAAAAAAAGCATTTGCAGAAAATAAATAAATTATAAAACTCAATTTTCAAACAACTCAATGCTAAATAATAAAATTAAAAAAAAATAAAATAAAATAACATAAGTCAACATGAATTAGTAACCTGCAATCGAGTTGTGAGCTCAAAACAACGCTATAATAAGCAAATCAAGAAAAACTAAGATGCCTAATTCCCAACAATTTAAATATAAAAAGATAAAATTGAAAAAAAATCAATTAGCAAAGAGAATAAAAAAATACCAAAAACTTGGGCAAGTTCATCAAACTTCATGAGTTGAATAATGCAAAATGGATCACTTAATATAAGGCAAAATAAGAAAAAAATATGAAAGTCAATTCTCAAACAAACCAAATACTAAAAGAGAATTAAAAAAAAATCAATCTTAAAAAACAACCCAAAAGAAATACTCGAGTCAACCTGAGTTAAACTGTTAAACCCATGATCAAGGTCATAAGATTAGAATAAAGGAATACAAAGAAAATCACAAAGTCTAATTGTCAATAAATCTAATGTCAAATCATGAAATTCAAAAAAAAAATTGTAAAAATCAATAGTTTTAAAAAAAGACTGATGTCAACCTAGATTAACCTTTTAAATATGAGATTCAAGATGACCCTGTAAAAAATAACAAAGCTCAATTCTCAAACAATCAATATTGAATGATAAAATTAAAAAAAAAATCAATTCTAAAAATCAACACTTGATACTACCAGTGTTGTTGATTTAGACTTCATGGTATTTCAAAAATAATAACTTTAGATTGAGATTCCAAGTTTATGACTTTTTAGCATACACTTTCTACAAAACTCATATTCAATTCAGCACTACTTATCATTTACATACTTATGAACAAACTAAAATTGTTAATAGGAGTTTGAAAAGTCTTTTGAGAAGTTTGGTGAAAAAGAATATTCAAGATTGGGATCTTATTTTCTATTAAGTGAGTTTGTTTTAATCATTCCACTAGCCAAAATATTAGTTATAATTATTTTCAAAATGTGTATGGTTAGAATCTATTAAGTCCATTGGACTTAATTTCACTTCTAATAAATTAGAATTTCAATGATGATGTTATAAAAAGAACAAAACAGCTTAAGAAGTTACAAGAACAAGGTTTTCACAAGATTATTTGGCAGCTTAAGCAGTTGTTAACTAGTATTATAATCATTAAAAATCTTAACTAGTCTTCAGAATGGCAAGAGACTGGTTATGCTAGAGATTAGATAATCATTCTTAAAATATCTTAGGTTAGACAGACCGCATTGCTAATTTTATCTTAAATGCTAAGGTTTGTTATGTAATTAGTACTTAAAAGTGTATTTTTATCAAGGTTTTATATCATTATTTTGTACTTGAAATATCAATAACTCCTTAATTAAAACATGTTTTATAATAACAATTCTGATAATATAAGATACCTTGAATTTATAGTAAATGTTCATTTTAAATGTAGGCCTATCACATAAATTAAAGGATTGATTGATAACTTTAACTAATGAAATTAAGAAAACAAAGAAAATGTTAAGTTTAGAAAAGAGATTCTAGTTGAATTCAAACTGAAATACCATTCGATTATTGGATCATAAATGAAGATGTAGAATTTGATTTAAGTTTGGTCTATATGGGTGGAAAGTTAAGACATAGGCTTAAAACTTTTGTGAGAGCCTAGGATTTAGAAAGATCCTTTTCAAGTTCAAATTGTAGTAATAATAAAAAAGTTAGAATTTATCCTATAACTTAAACATTGTTTAGTGTTCAGCCCATATCTCGAGTTCTAAAAGTCCAAATGCATAGTTTTTTTTTTGTTGGAAAGCTAAGATAATTTTTCAGAACTTTCATGAAGACTATCTATTCAAATTCTAATGTTATCAATGACGTTTTATTCAAACAATAAGATAATGAATGTCACAAAGTCAAGAGATGGTCATTCACTCAACAATCAGTCATCAAATCAATAGTTTTGAATTTTAACTTGTAAAAGTAGACATTTGCCATGCATTTAGACATCTTAGTTTTCAGATCAAGATCATATTCTGCCTTTTTTTATATATTGTTATAATGTTTAAGTTTTGCTTTCATTAATCTCTTGTTTATGCATTTCATTTGCTTTATTATACTTATATAATCACGTTCTTCTCTTGTTTATCTATATTTCTCTTATTCATAATGTTCAGCTAGGTTTAATATGTTAAGGTGAAAAGGTTTCACTAATGATATTGAGATATATATAATATAAACTCCATATGAATTTTAATGTTTGATGATAACATGTTTTGTATTTGTTATCTTACTCACTCTTAATACATTACTGGTTAAATGGTTAATCTAATTTTTTGTTAAACAACCCTAGGTATGACAAATATTTGGTCTTTTCATAGCCCAACTGTATGGTATAACCGACACATATGTTATAAAAGGAACTTGATTTATTGCCAACTTAAGTTATCACCATGAATACTTGATAACATTTACAAGTATTGACATTACTCAAATAAGATAATTAATATAATCATATTAATAAATTATAATTCGATTGGAACATCTTTTATGCGTGGTTTATAGTTGAATAATAAAAAAAAATTATATTATACTTATTTAAAATACCATTAGTGGATTCTCTAGCCTTGATAATTGTTTTATATTTGTTTAAAGATTTACATCAATATTACATCTCAAAGTTCTCTTCAACTCCTGTCATATTATTATCTATTTCTTTATTTGTCATTTATATAGTTAATCTCCATGTTGTTTGACTCCGGTTTTACCGAGTTATTTATTATTTCAACACTCCTATACTTGGGAGAAGACATCAATGTTTTGGTTATGTCATTGTGCTTTCTCTATAATATTTTTTACTCTAATCTCAGAATATTGAGATTGATACTATCAATAAATATAAGGATTGATATTTTTTACTCTAGTGTTAGAAAATACAAAGATTGATATTTATAACTCTAGCATCAATAAAATCATGATCAATATTTTTGATTCTAGCGTTTATAAATAATAAGGTAAATATTCATCATGAATCTACTTATTCAAACAATTCTAGCTTTGAGTTCTAAAATGATCATTAGACTTGCAGGAACCTTTTATTCAAAAACCTTTTCATTGTTTAAAGAATAAAAAGTGATGGATTTTGATTCATTTTTTTTAGGTAGCCCAATGGCTATTTATTTTAGGCTAAGTTTTTAATATGTTTAATAAGTTTTATCAAACTAAACAAATACATGCAAAACAATATATTTTTTAATGCAAAAAACACAAAATGACTTCTTTGTTTTGTTTTGTTTTATGCTAGCCATAATATTTTTATGCTATATTATTAAAAGACATATTATTTTATTTTATTTTTATGGTATTTTTATTTATTTTTTATGTTATTTGTTTTAACACATGCAAAAAATTAAAAATCATGCAACACACATCTATTTTACTAAAAGGTTGTTTCCTTTTTTTAAAAAAATATTTTACTTGAATTTTTTTTACATCATTTTAATTTGCAGATATCAAAATAATTTTTTTAAAAATAAATAAAAAATATTATTTTCATGTATTTTAAAACAAAAGGTACTTTTAAAAACAACAGTTACCACATATCCTTACCCTTTCTAATTCACAAATAGACACATATCAATTACACATATTTACAATTTATTTAATAAACATAAATTTATCAAAAACTTGCATACCACCTTCCAGACAAGGTCTGAGTAGTTAGAAAAGCTATCAGGATGCATTGGATGTTTAGAGACAATAGCAGAACCCATGTGTTGCCATGATTGGTGGCATGCGGATCCATGCATTATTGCCAATTAAAAAGGAGAATCGTTGGATCGGGCAGCTCTTCCTTCCCCTACCAGTGATAAGCTTCATTATCTCTTATTTAGATCTGATTTTTTTTTTGTTTCACTCTCTCTACTAGATCTTTTTCTTCTTCTTTAGGTGGTTGAATGTTATTGTCTCTAATAGTAGTCATCTATTGCTTCATAGCGAGGAGAGGAAAGACTATGACTGATAGTTTGAGAAGAAAAATGATTTTGCTATTGATGATGCAGTCTTCGATTGTTGGGTTGAGGCCGTTAGTACTAATGGTGTCTTATTGTAGTTGACAATGATATTGTTATGGGTTTATGGGTGAAGGGAGGTTGGTGTGTATGAGCTAGCCGTGAGGAAGATGTTATTAATGGTACAATGACTTAAAAAACTAGTAGAAGAAAGGGAAATAAAGGACCTACTTGGTTCATGTTGTTAATGGTTTAAGTGAAAGAAGGATGAAGATGGGTTTCTGTGGGTTTTTTTTTTCTTCCAATGGTGATAGTTTTTCTTTTTCTTTTTTGAAAATGATATGTTAGAGAATTTGAGATGCAATATTGGGTTTGAAAAAAAAAAACAAAAGAAAAAGCTCTCCTTGGTGGTGACAACTGTTAAGTCTTTGTTTTTTTAGAAAAGGGGGATTATGTTTCTTTTTGTATCTAGTTTTGCTATTTACATAGATTTATCTTTTCTGCACCCAATCTAAAATCCTTCCTCATTTCTATGCGCTGAGATTTATATTTATAATATATAAGTTTAGAGCATATAGAACTTAAAGTCCTAAATAAATTTTTTTTCTTGAAATTTAAGTTTAATTAGGATTTTAAAATCAAATTTAAAAATAAATAACTAAAATTTATCATGATGATCCTTTTTAAATTGAATATTATGAGAAAATAATTAAAACACATTATAATCCCTAATTTTTTCATAACTTTATAAATCACTTACTTAATCAAAATTAGTTCTCGAAATTTTATCAAATTTAACCCCCCTTAAAAATTAAAACAAAACCAAATGGGGTCAAAATTGAATTATAACAAGATGAATTAATTATTCAGAAATAAAACTTATGACTGAGGGTTTGCTTTTACTCTTGGTTCCTCGTAAAGTTATTTTGATTTATCAAAGAATTAACCAAGTTTCCTGGATTTTTTATACTGCTCATTCATGTATTTTCATAAACATTAGGTAAAGGTACATTTTGTTATAGTCTTGATGTCTCCATACAAATTATCATTGTGTCATATTCAATTACAAACTTGAATTTAACTTTCTTGAAAATGATGGATTTAACTATGAGATTTTAAATTTTTATATTCATAGGGTTCATATTAAATAAGCATTATAAATATGTAAAGTTCAAAAAATATGATTTGATTTGGATACATCTAGGCAAGGAAAGGTTTTCACAGCAAAGGTTTTTTAAACTAAAACCTAGGGCTGGGGGTCCATTTAAGATTTGATATCAAGGGTTTTTTTTTTTTTTTAAATAATAGTAAAACTATAATATTTACTATAAGAGATTTTTAGCCATTGGTTGAAATATAATGACAATCCTATAAATAATTCAATATTTGTTTTTAATTTTTTTTGGCACATAAAAAATGAGGGTATAAAATATCTAAACTCTAGGATAAAATGTTATTTTTTTTTTGAAAGAATAGAAATAAAGTAAAAAATAAGTAAGCTAGAGGAGATTTGTGTTATTATTCCTATTTTTTAATTGAAAAGTAAATGTTGTTTATTCTTTATAAAATAAAATAAATAATACATGTACTTATAAATTAAATAAAAATTGTTAATACTAATTAAATATGAAATCATGAAGCTAATTATTATAATAAAAAAAAAAGATATCTCATCTAGCTTATACCAACTATTCTTTTCATTTTAAATGTTTTTATTTATTTTATCTTAGCAACAATTTGGGGTTACTAAAAACAAATAATTTTTGTTTTTATAAAGTCTTTATATAAATTCAACTAATTCATATAAAATATATAAACAAAATTGAGATAAATCAAACTAATTTTTTGAAGTATCATATAATTAAAAATATATAAAAGATGAATCATTATTTAAAAAACAAAACCAATTCAATTTGTTTTTTAAAAAAAGAGGGAGGACATAAATCATATTTAAATAGAAAAATAATATAAAAATAAAAATAAAATCAAGTCTACATGCATGATCTTAATAAAAATCTTGGACCTGTGATTAGTTTTTTTATTTGTTTCTCGAGAGCTGATGATATGTTATCATTTTATTTTATTTTATTTGGGTTACAAGTTGTTTGTAGTAATGGGTGACCTGTTCTTGACTAGTTTGTTTTCTAATCAGCTTGAGTGATTAAAAAATTAAGGTATAAGTTTTTAGATCTTAAAAACTTATTTTAGCTTGTGTTTTATATGAAAACACTATTAAAATACAATATAAACCTTAAAAAATTACTTACCAAATCCAAATCCAAAGTACCTTAAAATTACTTAAAATAAAATAAAAATTAACCATAAAAAACTAAATGAAACTTAATCTATTTTCATATACTTGTTTAGAGAAAAATATTAACTTTATTGAAGTTTGATAGAAAAGAAAAACCTATTATTGCAGGGATTATTTTTTTTGGTTGGAGATTATGACTAACTAATAATTTTTTTTTATTTGTTATTTTTTGATTAGTTTTTATCTAATCTCTCAAATAATTTTTTAATTCAAAAGAAAAATGTAAAAAAAAAAAAAGAGGATAGAAGTGGAGCAAAAAAAAATTAGGTGAACTCAAAACCACTTTTTTCACGTTTTTGAGATTGGCAATGTTTCTCGTGTTTAACACTTTGATACTCTCACTTTTGGATTTTTCTTTCTTTCCAAATTAGATTAATTAAAAAAAGAAGAAGAAGCTGAAGCACCACAATTATTAATTGTAAGAAGTGGGGGCAGCTCATTGGCTATTTTTCTAAATTATTAATGTTTCTGTGGTCGTATTTGTTTTTACTTGCCAGCCAATAACAAAACATCGACACAGCGCAGTCTCTCTCTGTTCTTTGCCTTTCCTTAAACGGAAGCGAGAAGAATTCACTCAAGTTCTCTTTGGATTTTGTACTCTTTTTATTTTTTTAAAATCCAAGAATTCGTTGTTTTATAATCTGTTTCAACTTACCTGAAATCGGAATTCTCTCTCTATGCAACAGAGGGAGATGGTAGTGATAAGAGAGGCACCGGCTGTTCATGGATACCGCATGCCTGCGGAGTGGGAGTCCCACTCACAGACTTGGATGGGCTGGCCTGTTAGTATACATACATATAGAACCTTTACTTGTTAATTGCCACTTTATATTGTGTTTTTCACTGTGATGCGATCAATCATTTTCCTTAACAGTGACTGAAAGTAGGTTCTTTTCTAATTCCTAGGCTTTCTTCAGTATAGGGAAACCAACTGTCCCGCAGGACGACTGCATGATTCTAAGTAGAGTGACTGTTTGTTTTCTTTTGTTTCGTGTTTTTGGGACATGCTCACATCCAGAGTGTGTTGTTGAGCTTCTTCTTGAGATCCGTTTTACAAAGAAAGAAAGAAAGAAAGAAAGAAAGGTCTTCTTTTCTTTTAGCAGAGAAATAGGTTTATTTATATCATTTGATAAACTGTGTTAATTTTTCGTAATACGAACCACAACAACTATCTTATTCCTGTAGAAATTCGAGAATCTGTTGATCCATACCATTACTTGTTGGGAAATTTTTTCCATACCTTTTGTGGTTGCAATGCAGATGGGTTCTCACTTTTCAAGCAGTAATTGTGGATATTTTTTCTCTTCTCTTCTCTGCTCCTCTTTCTTTCTTTCTTTCTTTCTTTCTTTCTTTTTTGAAAAAAAAAGAAGAGAAAAGCTCCTAAAGCCTGTCATAGAATCAAGTATTTATGGTTTGCTTTGCAGGAGCGCCGGGATAACTGGCGAGACAATGCATTACATGCACAACTTGTTTTCACCAAAGTGGCAATTGCAATTTCAAAGTTTGAGCCTGTAACTGTCTGTGCAAGCTCTGCTCAGGTTGTTCGACATTTTAACAAATTGACGTCTTACGTTTTTGTTATGGGATTTGAATTTGTTCTCAACTGAGTTAAAAATTTTTCATTTGACTGTACTTTTAGTGGGAAAATGCACGAAGTCAGCTACCAGAACATGTGAGAGTTCTTGAGATGAGCATGAATGATTCTTGGTTTCGTGATATTGGTCCGACTGTGGGTTTTTCTGCTTCTCTCTTTTAGCATTTCTATGATATTTTGTTCAATTAATGTTTTATTTTGATATTTTAGTTTTTTTTTTCCTTATCCTGAATAATTTCGGTTTCTTTATCAAGTTTGTTGTTAGGAAAAATGGATCAAATCATGGTAACCTCGAGCAACACATTGCAGGGATTGATTGGAATTTTAATGGTTGGGGAGGTAAGACTTTAAAAAATTCAAGTTTTATGTTAAATATTAACATATCATGGGTATTCCATCTCATAGACGATGCAACATGATCCTCAAACGTTGGTGCTTTACAGTGCAACAACCTGATGCCTTGTTTTGCCTATATATGAATGCGTTAGACTGCTATTCAGGTTACTGTAGATGATTGCAATTCTGAAATCCTGACTTCCAAATTCTTACAGGTTTTCCTTACTTAGTGATTACTGATAATTCTGGAGCCCTTTCTTGAGAAAATGATGACTAACTTCATGATAGTTTTAGGAATTGAATTAGGAATCAAATGTGGAATTGTAGAACATGTTCATCATTGCTTTCAAATCCTTGAGATAAGATATGTGAATATATGCCAGAGCATCATTTAATTACATATATCAAGAAACCACCCTCGTGCTATTATGTTTGTTTATTGGTAAAGTTTTACTCTTTATTGAGTAACTTCTCTGAAAGGATTTGGCCTTGAAACTTATAGGGGTTGATGATGGTTGTTACCAGGATTGGAGTCTTGACCTTCTCGTGGCAAGGAAGGTGGTGTAGTAAAACAGATTGCATAAACTTTCTGTGCATATTATTTTATTTAATTATCTTGAATGTATTAGTTTTCTGGGTTTTGATCTGAATTAATGTTCTTTTTTCAGATCCTAGGAACGGAAAAAATTCCAAGGTTTCCCCACTTTATGATTCTTGAAGGTGGAAGCATCCATGTAGATGGAGATGGTACTGATCCGTGGACTCTATAAATATGCATGAGATTTAATTGTGTGCGAAATATATTGATGTGTGTCTATGAGGGAGGTAGGGTTCTGCAACAAGGATAGAAACAGGAAGGTGCCCTTTACTTACTAACCTGATCTCTCCATTTCATCATTTGGGAGATTCAGCACTAGAAGAAGATATCTGCTCATGTTGGAAGTATTGGGTCATGGATATGCAATATAATAATGCTACAGATTCATTTGATTTTCTCTATTTGATTCTGTTGACAGCTCTGATTGTGGAGTGGATAACATTTGGTTGTATCATATATTGTGAAGTTAACTTGCATTATTAAGAACATCACTGCATTGCCAGGGGTGGATCTGGCTAATAGTAATTTTCACAGTAAAGCAGTTTGCCTTAAAAAATATGGAAAAGACCTCTTCTCCAGTAGCTTTGGGATCTCTTTAACCACAATTATCAGTATAATTTTCTTTTCTTTTGATCTTGCTAATGTATGTCATATTTTTTTGTTTTGTTTTTGTTTTAGGGACATGCCTTACCACTGAGGAGTGCCTCTTGAACAAAAACAGGAACCCCAATTTGACCAAAGAACAGATAGAAGATCAACTTAAGGCATATCTCGGAGTTCAGAAGGTTATTTGGTTGCCTTATGGATTATATGGTATGCAATTATATGAACGCCACTTCAGATATTCTCTCTTTCCTCTTAATACTTCTGAATTTTTAGTTTTATTCTATAATTCATATTCTTATTTTTTTTTCATAAAAAAAGAAGAAGATTTTCATGATAATTCATATCCTGCAATCTATTGGCATTTCCTTTTGAATATATAACCTTGCAAAACCATATTTTGCTGTGCCCCTACTTTTGGGTGCATGTGATGTGCATTTCTGCTTTCATTTTGTCAAAAAAATTGTAAAGGGTTGACCTTAACAATTACTTAGAACCTTGCCTATTGCAATAAGGATAATCAGAACAAATAAACTAGACAAACAATAAACCGCTGAAAAACTGATATACAGAATACAAGAACAAGTAAACCTGCTATAATTCAGATTGAAAAATAAATACTTGAACTGAGTCGATCAGAGAGATCAAGCTGCAGTAGCAATAGAAGAGGCAGAATCCTTGGCTACACGTGAACCTGAGTTCTCCAAAACCCCTTTATAATAGATAAAAAAATCCACAAATTTTTACTTTATATCATCTAAACTCCATGAGATGCTCACAATGAAACCAATAAAACTTAGCAAGCATAATGATGCCCTTGTAACCAAACAGTCTGTAGCTTGTGTCTCTACTCTACTCCATGCCTGCACTTTCTTTTCCTCTGATATTCTTATAATGAAGGCTGATTTTAGCCTGCATCAACTACCAGATGAAACTCTGAGAGGTTAGATTTTAATATACAGTCTATGATCTCTGTTGTGGTGTTATTTTGCATTATAATCACTCATACACCTTTTTGTTCTTTTCATGTCATATTGTTTCTTTTCTTCAGTTACGTCTGATTTATTTTTGCAGCATCGTTGTTACTACAATTACAATTAAAAATTTGTACCTGAAGGTAGTGAAAATTGCAAAAGGTGAAACTAAACACCATGGGATGTAACAGGTGATGATGATACTAATGGTCATATTGACAATATGTGCTGCTTTGCAAGGCCTGGTGTGGTTTTGTTGTCTTGGACTGACGATGAAAAGGATCCCCAGTTCAAACGATCAATGGAAGCTTTATCAATCCTCTCCAATACTAGTGATGCTAATGGTAGGAGATTAGAAGTAATTAAACTCCATGTGCCAGGACCACTTTATATGACAGATGAAGAAGCTGCTGGAGTTGTTCAAGTAAGAATACCGCCCTAAAATTTGATTTTCATGCAGTGTTCTTACTTAACATTTTTTTTAGAGAATATTCAAGTAAAACACTGAAATACTCTCTTTCCTATGTGTTTTATCTAACATGCAAATGCTTTTCAAATAGGTCCCGAACCACATCAAACAGTTGAATTCTAAATTGAGGAAATAGATTCAAAGGAAATTCCATGCTTGTTCCTTTGCTTCTGAATGTTCTATGTGTGGGGCTTTTATGAGTATATTCGTCTGTCTCAGCTGTTACTTTTCCAGCAACACAAATTTCTGCTGAAAACATAACAATGAAATAATTCATCCAACAAATTTGTAATACGTTAAACACAAATTTATTTCCAAGAACTGCCGGAATTAACTCGAAAAAAATAATTCCAAAAAAGGTGAAAGAGGAAAAGCATTAAAACAATTACCTGCTGGACTTTTATGCTCCTTCATTGTCCAAAAGGTTAAAATAGTGAAAAATGGTTGATTGCACCTTTATTTCTGGTACTGGTTTAGTTTACTTTTCATGCATGTCATCTTAGTTTCTCTTTTTTATTTAAGTCCTTAGCTTGTGGACAACTCTTTGTTTGTTGTTGATATGTTCAAATCTCAATCTGAATGATGGAACGGAGTTGAATATATGATATTTTAATCTTGGATGCTGTTTACCTAGTTGGAGCAATAATTATCCACAAATCTAGATCCCCCAACAGTGTAATCATACTAAAATTTTTGGAGACCTATAGTTGTTACAATCACCCTTCAGCCTTTATGATATCCAGCCCTCATGCAGCAACATATAAATAAAAATTGCATGTTCTTATTGGATCACGGTCCTTGAATGGTTTTTGGCCACAGGATTGCAATGCCAAACCAAGACTTCCAGGTACCAGACTTGCTGCATCTTATGTAAACTTCTATATTGCCAATGGTGGGATCATCACACCACAGTTTGGGGACCAGAAGTGGGATGATGAAGCTGTTCGTGTTCTCTCTCAAGCTTTTCCAAAGCATGAAGTAAGGAAATACTTCTGTTCAATTTATCAATATTTATAAGCTTCATATGCAAGATATTTGATCTAAGTGCATGCGGGTTGACTTCCAAAGACATGATGACTTGATATGTGAGTCTCACCTAGGTCGTATTAAAATCTTAATGTAGAATCCAGGTAGGTGATTGCAAGAAAACAAAGTTTCAATGCTCACGATAGCAAAAACTGGATTTCATTTTCTTCTGTCCACCAACACACCCCACCCCCCCCCCCCCCCCCCCCCCCCAATTTAATGATGCTTATAAGCTGCAGTCCTAAGACCAAGCATGTATAAAGAATAATCTTAAACTAGCAAGCTATACTTGATACAGCTAACGTTGTACAGAAACTCACAGAAGACAGTTTTGTGTTCATTGGTTGCTTATAATATGTTTTGTTTCCCGTTTCCCATGTTTAACATAGCGAATCTGAATGATCTTAACTCAGGTGGTGAGAATCGAAGGTGCAAGGGAAATTGTTTTGGCAGGGGGGAATGCACATTGCATTACTCAGCAACAGCCAGCTGCTCTCTCTACGTCGAACTGTTAAACATGGTTGATTATGCATAAATGCCGGCATGAGTTGCGTTGGTAATAGCTTTAGACTAACAATTAAATTATGTACCATGAAGGTAAACTTATATCTTCCCTTTGATCCGTGTGGCATTTATCTGGCAGAGATGCTAATGCAATGCATGCCCTAGAACAGCACGCCAAAATAGAAATCGACTTTTGAATCATCGTATTATACCTAATTAAGATGTTGAATTTGCATTTCTAGGCCATTCTTCTTGTTGGTTGATAAATTGTCATTCACATGAGATGTCATTCACCTAAGTTGGATGACACGATCAAAAAACTGATATATTCTTTCAAGTACAGGAATGTCGAAATAATAAATAACTCGTCAAAATCAGAATCGAACCACAAGGAGGTTAATTATATAAATTATAAACAACAATAATACAATACCAATAATAATAATAGAAGAAGAAAGAAGAATAAGAAGTTGATGAGAATTTTGAGATGAAAGATTAATGTAAGAATTAAATAATGATAATGATAAATGTCAAGGTTAGATGATTCATTAATAGTGTTTCAAACAAGTATAGTATAAATTCTTATTATTCAATTGGAAAACACATAAAAAAGGTTTCAATTAAATTATGAATTGTTAACACAAATATATTAGTTATCTTATTCGAATAATGCTAATACTTGCAAATATTGTCAGGGATGATTATAACTTATGTTAACAACAAATCAAGTTCTTTTTATAGCACAAGTGTAAGTTATAACATATGGTTGGGCTATGAAAGTGTAAAGTATTTATTGTACTAAATGTTATACAATATAAATCTAGATTAACCATTTAACAGGCAAAGTATTAAGAGAGAATAAGAAAATAAATACAAAATATATTAGTATCAAACATTAAAGTTTATGTTGAGTTTACATTATACTTATTCTTACACTATTAGTGTAATGTTTTCACATTGACACAATAAACTTAGCTAAATATAATGAAAGAGAGAAACATAAATAAATAAGATAAAAACATAAACAAAATAAAAGTTAACTAAGTAAAGGAAAGGAAATGAAAAGCATAAATAAGATATTAATGAAAATAAAATTTAAGCATTATAAAAATACAAAAAGAGAAAGCAAGAGCATAATCTTGATCTGGAAACCAGGATGCCTAAATGCATGGCAAATGCTTCCTTTTATAGGCTAAAATTGGAAACTATTAATTTGATGATTAATTGATGAGTGGGTGATCAATTTTTAACTTGGTGACAATCCTTATCTTCTCTTGTCTGAATAAATCGTCATTGATAACATTAGAATTTGAATTAGACCTTCACATAAAAGTTTTAGAAAATTGTTTTAGCTTTCTAGGAAAAAAATTAAGGTCATTTGGACTTCTAAAACTTAAAATATGAGCTAAACACTTAACAGTGTTTGGGCTGCAGGTCAGATTCAGACTTCTTCGTTGTTGCTACAATTTGAACTTGAAAACAACCTTTTTAAATTTTGGACTTCTCATAAAAGTTGTAGGCCTATATCTTACCTTTCTATACATATAAAGTAGACTTAAATCCGAGATCTATAGTTCCAGATATGATCTAATTACCAAACAGTGTTCTAATTTGGACTATACCAGCATCTCTTTTCTAAGTTTGGCTATCTCTTTGTCCTTTCAATTTCAGTACTTCAGCCCATTAATCAATCCTTTTATTTATGTGATAAGCTTATATTTAGAATGAATATTTACCATAAATTAAAGGTACCTTATGGTATCATACTTGTTATTATAAACCATGCTTTAGTTAAGGAGTTATTGATACTTCAAATGCAAAATGATGATATAAAACCTTGATAAAAATGCATTTTTAAGTGCTAATCATTGGTTCAGATAACTTACATTCTCTGAACTTGGTTTTTGAACAAGCCATGTGAACAGATGAATCCATTACTGGTCCAGGACATGGTGTTAGCACACGCATGATTTACTCTGTTTTATCTCCTACAAAATCTGTACTTGTGCCTTGGGTAAATAATACTAGTTACTATGCCATGAGTACCAAATGTTTTTAGCTGTGCAATGGCTTTTAGTTGCATAAACACCTAATCATGGAATGGAAAAAGATCTCAGTGAAGATAATTGTAACTCCTTATAAATTTTGGGGTATTTTTTTAAACTAGCTTAATTCATAATTTACTTTCTTTTGAATCATTCAAAGAATTCCATCTTGATTTATAAAACTTGTAGCATTTATCGCATACGTGGTTAACATGTAAAGAATCATATTATAGTTTTTCTTGCACGGGATTGTACCCAAAATCTTATTCCACTTTATTATTTGTAAAAACAACTATAGTTCACGATGCAATTTACTTATAGCATCAATACTCATAAGCAGCATCAGATATACCCCTAGTGGATTTATCATTGAAATGATTGTAGAACAATGAAACCTTTAAATAATTAGAAATCCATCCTACTATTTAATCTTAAATTTTAAAATACCAACACTTAATAAATACACAATGTTAAACTACATAACATGAAAATTGAAACAACAAAATTAAGTTCTATCTATCTAAAAGAAAGACTAAACAATCTAACCTGTGTGATCTCTAAGGTAATGTAACTACGATGGGAGGGACTTGAAATATATGGCAATAGAATGGAGACAATGACTATAAAAATCTAAACATACTTAACACACATATGTTATGTCAAACTTTAGTCACAACCACAACCACAATAGTCCTATTTTGCTCAAATTAGTCCTTAACCTCGTTTCATCTATTAAGAACACCTCCATTCATAGAGCCAACTTTCTCCATCTAAATAGCCGATTAGGATATAAAATAGACAAGTTTCTATCCAAATAATTGACTTTAACATATAATCAACAAGTCTTCAACCAAATAATCAATTTTAACTTATAATTAATTAGTTTCTATTCAAACAGCCGACTAAGATATAAAATAAATAATTCTCTATCTAATTAGCCGTCTTTAGCATATAATAAGTATGCCTATCCTAATAGACAACTTTAACATATAATTAATTAGTCTCTATCATTGAAATCAATTTAATTTTAACATTATCAAGTTTCATAATTGTGCATATTTAGAAGATTAAACTAAATAGTCTATATTGTTGTAGCTGATATACTATTTACATTATTGATTTTTCCCATTGTAGCTAAAACAAGTATTAAACTAGATAATTTTTATTGGTGCAACTAATACTTATTTTTAACATTATCAAGTTTCATTGTTACACCTATTTCAAAAATGAAACTAACTAGTCTTTGTCATTGCAACCGACTTATTATTTACATTATCAATTTTTACCATTGCAACTAATACAAGTATTAGACTAGATAGTCTCTATAATTGTAGTCAATGTAACATGTAAGTTATCAAATCTTGTGATTGTGGTCATTTCATATGTTTACACTCTTATTATTATGGGGGTGTATTCTTATTTAATGTCATTATTTTGCTTGAAAATATTATTTTCCCACCCTGAAGGTATAATTTTTAGTGATATTTATTTCCACCCTGAAGACATTAATCTTGTAATATTATCTTCCATAATACCGTTGACACGACCAAAAGATTGATGTCTTCTCCCAAGTGCAGGAGTGTCGAAGTAATAAATAACTCGGCAAGACCGGAGTCGAACCACAGAGAGGTTAATTGTACAAATTATAAATAACA